CTGGGGAGAGTCGTTCTCGCCGGTCTGTGAGTCGACAGTTGGAATCTTCTCCGCAGAGCCAGTAGATGGCTTGCTTGGGCGTGCAGGTATCTGTGGCTTCGGTCGGTCTGGAATAATGGGTGCTTTCTTATCATCGGCAGATGGTTCCCTCTTGGCTGGTCGTGCCGGAATACTGGGGCGAGCCGGCACCGGGGGCTTTTGGTCGATTGGGGAGTCGTCGGCATACTCATTCGTATCCTCCATCTGAGGTGTGCTGACAGTAGTCTCGTATAATCCGTGGGATGGCGCATCCTCCCAGATATCTTGACTTGGGAAGCGTTGCTGCATTCCAGGGCGGCCCATGGTCTCGTCACGTACTTTCCCGAGGATCTTGTTGTCTGCGGCGAACTGTCTAGTGTGGTCGGGGAGGAAAGACTTCTGATCTTCCTTGTTGATCTGGGTCTTACGCTGCTCTTCGGTGTTCGGGTCTTCAAAAACCTTCGCAGGACTCACGCTATCGTTACCACCAGCAGTCTTTGGCTCTTCCGGCTCTTGAGGAGTATCCACAGTAGTTTCGAGCTGTAAACTGCCGGGGGTATCCTCCCACACATCTTGACTGGGAAAATGGTGTCGGGCGACACTGGGACGCTTGAGCTTGTCGACCTGAGATTTGGGCTTCTTGGTGTCCTCCTCATCCTCCGGAAACAGGGGCTCATACTCCTTGTGCGACTCTAGTGGAGTACTGCCACGATCGTATTGGGCTGGGCTGGGAATAACACGTTGCTGCTGGGTGCTGTTGTTCCGACTCGAGCTTCTGCTGTGCGTGCGCGGCTTTGTGACATATTGCGGGTTGCCATCTTCATTGAGCGTGTATTCGTTGCCATGGCGCTCCATTTCAGGCGATACAGCAGGCTGTCTCCATTCGGCGTCTGGGTGTTTCTTCAGCTCATCGGAAGCTAGAATGGGCGTGCCATATCCGCGCTCAGTAACCCATCCACCTTTCTCAGCTGTGTTTCCGCCCTCGGGGCCAAGGTCTTCGGTTGGTGGGTCGTAGCCTCCGCCATGAACCTTGCTGGAGCGATGCGCAGGAGGGTCGATATGGATGACCTCGCCTTTGTCATTGACCTCTTGGCCAGCTTCGTTACGGAGGGGTGAGTCGACGTAGCCGCCCTTGATTGAAGCAGGGCGACCCGATGATTGTGGTCGAGGAGAGGCCATGCGCGAAGCATATTCCTCTGTGGCCCTGTAGCCAATCTGTTCGTCGGGTGTACTGACTGCATCCCGACTCGTACCTGTAGAATATGATCAGCAACAGCTGATGAATATCGAAGCCGCAATTGACTTACCCATCCCAACATCCTGAGCCCTAGTGTGTACCAGCTTGTCGAGGTTATCGGCACGCCAGTGGTAATCCTTCCTGTTCTCCTGGATGTGAGGACCGTACTCGCCGGCCTTCTCGCGCTTCAGATCGTCCGGGTGCTTTTCGTACCACTTCTGCTCAAAGTCGTCTGTTGAGATCTTGCCGTGGCCGTGCATGCCGTAGCTACCAGGAGGCCCGTGGAAGATTTCACGGCCGCTCTTGGTGCGCCCGTGATGGCGACCACCGGCCTTCTGGTGGAAACCTATTCCTTGCGCTCCGGGCTGTTGCGCGTAGGGCGAAGGGCTGGGGGCTTGAACGTCACCAGCATTTCGGAACATGGGTACCTGAACACCAATTTCAGGAATGCCATGCTCGTCCTTGTCGTTGTAGAGCGAGCTGGGGCGCGATCCAGCGGAAGATCCTGAACGTCCAGTCTTGGCCTGAGAGACCCTATCGTCAACGGACAGCTGCGAGCCGACGCCAGCTGCGAGCGCTGTCTGTGAATCGGTCCGCGTCACCGCCTGGATCCTACTTTTGGCGGTTGAGCTCGGGACCGAGGCTGTAGGAGCATGCAGAGGCAAGTCTCCTGCCACGTTCTTCATATGTTGTGGAGAGCCGCCCTGGTTCTCTGGTGTGAGAGTCTTGGACAGGTCTTCGAAGCTGGCGTATTCATTGCCTTCTTCTCCAAGGGAGGGCATGGACACGCTTGGTGGGCGGGAGGGCAGATCGGTGCTGAGGCGACCGCCCTCTCTAGGCGGTCCACCGTGTACGTAGGTCGGGTCGTTGAGCGGGGAGCGGGCGTATCTGTCTCCAGCGGGAGAGACGGAGCGTTCGACACCGCGCTTCGGGCGTGGGGGGATCTTGGGGACATCCATATGGGTACCCTGCGCAGGAGAAGAGCTGTTCTGGGCCCGCGCTGGGCGTGGAGGTATTGTTGGTGGAGCACTCATTGCTTCTGTGTCGGTTGCTCGGCGGGGATGTGGGGTGTAGGTGCGGTTGAAACTACAAGTCGTTCAATGTCAGTGACAGGTCCCAGCCATTGAATGATGGCGATGTGCAGCGTGAGCGAGCTGAGAAAAGTGCTCAGGTCTGGCTCGGGCAGTTTCCTGCACGTCAGGCCAATAAGCGCGGCTGCGACTTGAGAGCCCAATGATGCTGCACAAAGCGGATGTGCTGTACTGACCTCGGAGTCCGCAATTCAAGTGGAGACTAGAAGTGAGGCTGGCAAGAGGGGCAGGTAGCTTGGTGGGATACAGCCAAAATGGCGCAAATGAATCGGTCCTGGAAGCTGGGATGGCGCACTTATGTAGCAGAGTCGGAGAGCTCCAGGGCCTGCGACCCGCATTATGGCGTATGGGCCTGCACGCGGCCATCATCGTCACCCCCACAACCTGCATAGGTACCTACCACACGTTGTTTGACTGTTTTCTTACATGGTCCAGTCGTTGTTGCCACACATGCAATTGTTGTAGTGGAGATGTTCGACACGTCCACGTCAACTGCGCTGTTGACAGATGCATTGAATCCATGTCCCACATGCTGGCTGACGCTATCCTAGATTGGGAGCTATGCGACCGCATCAACGTGTTTCGCAGCCCGGGACGTCCAACATTGATCAAGACTTGCACAAGTCACATTGAAAAGCTCAGCGCATCACATGTGCATTGTTTGACTTGCATCCATCAGCTGCGCTGGGTGCGGCAGGGTGGCAGGATCTTCAACGCCTCGCAAGCTCCGGCACGTTAGCGTTCCCCGCGCCGAACAAGTGTGGTTCCTGGCGAGATTCTGGCAGCCAGTTATCGTCATCCTAAAAGCGAGCAGGTGCCAGGCCAAGTTTGGCGTTTCCGCTGTCGTGGTCTGACACTGCCTGTGCTTGTCACGGCTTTTCCAGCAACGATAGAGTCAAACTCGAATGGTTGCTGAGCAGACGACTGCTGCACTCTCTTGAATGTACGCTTAAGAAAATGTCACCCAAAGCTTCTAGAACATCGTCATAGGGACTCATGTGGGCCCTGCGCTCGTCTCCATCGATCAATATCTGTGTATAATTACGTAGGTGCCCCCACACAGCAAGATGACATCGTACACGACAAATGCACAATTGTCACGGGAACGCGATGAGTACGGAGAAAGCACGTCGCATTTAACCGCCTAGCAGTTTGGCCGAGCACTTCCATATCCAAGAGGCTCTCGTACAAAACATGGCCCCAGAACGCCCAGCTGCAGAATGATGCTACAAAGAAGTCAAATCATCTCCTGTAATCGCTTTCCAATCGGCTAAGCTCATCATCTCCGTCCTTGTGATATCAATCGGCTCGTCCGTCGGCCCTTCTTTCTATACGCGTGTCGTTCGTTCGGAATCGTCGCACATGGCTGTTGCTTGCTGCCTAGTTCTGCTCCCGCCCTATATAATCATCTGGGCAACTCCCTGCCCACCAAGCGTCTTGCTGCCCTGGAATTGCTGACCCTTGAAACCAGCAAGCGCATAGAAGACGGCTGCGAGCAGAAGGAAGACGGCCGCGACGATCAGACTTGTAGCCCGGGCAGCGATGCTGGCCCATTGTATGGCGCTCATCGCCGCGTAGATGGCCGCGCGCATATAGTTGGAGCTGAATTTGCGAATAAAGGTGTCGAACTTGGGTGAAGTCGGGCAGATGCGGAGGAGCAGCGGTATTTCGATGAAGATGATGATGAAGGAGCATACTCTGTGAACTGATTAGCCGTATTCCCAGCGAAGATACGGGCGCGGAGAACGTACAAGCACACGATACTAAACGCGATGACCCAGTTGGCGTTGAAGATGTTGGCGATGCCCAGCGCAAAGCAGAGGACTATACACAGTACTCCGGTCCTGCCGAAGAGTTAGTATGACATGCTGCAAGCCGTGGACGTGTGCATAGCAGCTGGCGTGACTGACCATTGTCCGTAGATACCTGCAAAGATGCCATGTCAGCAATAAGTTACAGGTCAAGCAGCGGGTGTCTTACTGAAATTCCTCGACTTGAACTCTTCTGCGAGCGTCATTTTCGCGGTGTGATTGACTGCGGTATGCTTCTAGCTTTTCGAGGTGATGCGCAAAGTGGTGGTTTGGCGATGTGTAGATTGCGGTTCCGGTAGCTTTGTTGCTGGCGCGGGCTGAATGAAGCTCTGGCACAAAGTATCAGGCGAGGTTTGATATCCTTTGTTGGAATGCCGTGCGCCGCGTTGGTGTACGTTGCGCTGCGTAATGTGATTGTGGCTGTGCAGTGAATCGGATTGGGTCGAGTGAATGTTGGTCGGTGCCTGGCGTTGCGATGGCAATGGCTGCGTTGCGTGCTTCTTGGTAGCTCAGCCCTCGGTCGGATCGCGGCTTCCACGTCTACGTAAACTACGCGCTAGTGCTTGCCGAAACCGTCTTGGGCCGGCACTCTGCGCCTGAGAACTCGGACCTGCACCTTCAGTTTCAGAACATTGTGTATGGCCGCGACTGCCTCACCTTGGGATGACTGGAATTTGGAAGGCGAAGGAATTATGGACGCCTCTCGTGCTTGCGTCGGCCGCGCTCGGGCTGGCGCTTTACTACCTACATGCCCAGCAAACAGCCACTTTGACAACTGCGGACCCTGCGCAGGTGAATACAGAACCGTGCCAAGACGACGAAGCGATTCACGTACCAGACGCCATGGATCCGAAGGAGAGAGCGTATCATGAAGGCTTCATGCGAGAGGCTATTGCCATGGTGAGTCACGTCCTTCGCTTTGTACATATTCAGCTATCTGCTGAGTTTACTACCTGTTTGATCCTCATGCTGACTCATCATCACTGCAGGCTGAACTTGCACTCAAGAGCGATGAGACCCCCGTCGGCTGTGTCTTCGTCAAGGACGGCGAGGTCATTGGACGAGGCATGAACGAGACAAATCGGACCCTGAACGGTACCCGCCACGCCGAGTTCGTCGCCATCGCTGGCATCTTGTCAAAGCACCCCATCAGTATCCTCAACGAGACGGACCTCTATGTCACCGTTGAGCCATGCGTCATGTGCGCGTCCATGCTGCGCCAGTATGGCATTCGAGCCGTCTACTTCGGATGCTGGAACGAGCGTTTTGGCGGCACTGGAGGTGTGCTGAACATTCACTCTGAGTACGCATCCTTCTTTCCTTACAAATGCATGCATTGCAAGTACTGACTTCAAACAGTGCCAGCGTCGACAAGCCCTATCCAGTCACCGGCGGCATCTTCCGAGAGGAAGCAATCATGTTGCTCCGGAAATTCTACGTCCAAGAGAACGAAAAGGCCCCCGAGCCCAAACAGAAGAAGACGAGGGAGCTGAAGACAGAGATCCTGCCCATGGACGTTCACCAGCCCAAGTCGACCCCGTCACCTGCTATTCGTGCTCCGGCTAATGCGACCTCGACCGGATCCATCCCGACACTGTCTTCTTTGAGCGCATCCGCCGCCGCTGCAGCTGTCGCGGTCCCCAAGACTGTGTTTCCCACGCCCGGCCAGGCTCGACCCAGTTCTGCCAGCACAGCTCTTGCTTGAAACACTTACGATGAATGCATACTTATACCCAACCATAGACGCTAGGATGAAGGAGAGAAACCGAATGTATAATACCTTATGACCTTTTACCTCAATAAAAACTTGTTGTTCACCTGTACACGGGATTGATTTGAGATGGCTGAGTACAATACCTGCATTGTGATTTCGAAAGAAAGCAGGAACGTCAATAGATGGTTGGTACTGGGTTTGGTATTGAAACGGGATCAGGGAGGCTTTTATCCACCTGTATCTTATTTCTCTCCTCCGCCACCTGCAACCAACTGCACCACCATGAAGAGAGCAATGGCCCACCAGTATCTGTATAATAATCAGCATAACCTCTGATAATGAACCTTGTTCCACTACGTACTTTTGCAAGAAGGTCTTCTCCGGCTCTTTTCCATCGAGCTTCCCCTCCGCATTGAGTACGATGGGCTTGTTCAAAACTGGCTTTGGCCCGACATTCCTTTTCTTTATCTCCACCTCCACTTCATCTCCGCTGCCCTTCGCGCTTGTTCCGAATCCAATGTGGAAAGGCTCCCCCTTCTCATCAACGTGAATGATGAACTTCTTGTGGTATTGGTCGGAGAAACTGGCCGCAGACATGACAATGCCTCGCCAGGATCCAGACTTAGGATCGGTGAGACCAACGCGAAGAAGGTGATCAGAGGCATAGGAGCCTGTGGGTGGTGTAAAGGAGGCTAAAGTGCCAACGGGTTGGTCTGCATCGTATTCGATCTGCGCAAGCGGAATCGGCGAGGGGATGACGGCGCTGTCACCTGAGGCTGGGACGGAGGAGACGTAGAGCGTGACCGACGATGCGACCGCAAATGGCAGCAGTAGAAGTCTTGACAGTAGCATCTTGGCGCGATGGTGCGGTCTGTTGCTATCTGTACCAATGCAATGGTGTTGGCAACGGGAGCTGGCTAGCCGCCCGAGAGCAACGGCGAATTGTATCACCGATGGACATTCACTCAAGCGAGCCGTGCTTCCACAACCCCTCCTCCTCAAACCATATCTCCTGAGACTTACATACGGTGAAATAATCCTGCGCCTCCGCTTGATCCGGAATCGCACCGATAGCCATGACCAGCTGTGATCCAAGACCTCAACTTGCTTTGCGTGGCGTTGCCTGACCAGCCAACATTGGCCCAACAGCATCCGGTATGCCTGAAAAGGTGGATCCGGTGCTCACGATGCCCACAATTCTCAGTCTGATCTGTGAGCAGATCGACGCTCAGGCTCGAGACGACCCTGACGACTGGTAGCCCGATTGCACAGAAGGCTGGGGTTGCTGCCCCACCCCCACCATACTAGAGCTCCCCAGAGCTCTTATGAGCTCATCCCGCATTGACAGCTGTGTTGTAGCTCAACATTATTTCTCGCGTCCTCGGGCTTTCGACTAGCTTTTCTTCAATTCAAAATACCACACTTCTCTCACTTTCCCATACTCACACGCAGCAATGTCGATTCCTTTCCGCCAGACCCAGCGCAAGCAGTCGCGTCAACTGTCAACAGATCCCCGCAATGAGCTCCACCCTCAAGTCGACCACTACATCGGTATCGATGTTGGTACCGGTAGTGCTAGAGCCTGTATCATGAATGATCAGGGAGACATTGTTGGACTGGCCTCAGAGAACATTGGCCTATGGCAACCACAGACTGGCTATTATGTACTTAACCCGCAACAGGCAAATTGCGAGAACCAAAACTAAAGTGAACCCAGGAACAATCCACAACAGACATCTGGCGATGCATCTGCTCCTCAGTCCGCCGAGCCATGGATCAGCACAACATCGACTCAAGCACTATCCGTGGTATCGGTTTCGATGCGACCTGCTCGCTCGCAGTATTCAGAGACGACACAGATGAGCCTGTCGCCGTCACTGGACCGAATTTTGACAACAAGGACGGCAACGACCGCAACGTCATTCTGTGGCTCGACCACCGACCTGTCGAGGAAACAAACAAGATCAACGCTACCAAGCACAACCTGCTTCGCTACGTCGGAGGCAAGATGTCCATCGAGATGGAGATCCCCAAGGTATTGTGGCTGAAGAACAACATGCCGAAGGAGCTCTTCGATCGTTGCAAGTTCTACGATCTGACTGATGCTCTCACACATCTGGCTACTGGCAGTGAGAGCAGAAGCTACTGCAGTGTGGTCTGCAAGCAGGGCTTTGTACCAGTAGGAGTCGATGGTAGTGTCAAGGGCTGGCAGGAAGACTTCCTCAAGGAGATTGGCCTCGAAGATCTATGCGAAGACAACTTCAAGCGCATGGGAGGCGTTGACAATGTGGTTTGTCCTTCGCTACTATTCTTGACGGTCCCGGCTAACATGCACACAGAACGGACGCTACCTCACTGCGGGCGAGCTCGTCGGCACACTCAGCGAGAAGGCTGCACAGGAGATGGGTCTGCAACCTGGTATTGCAGTCGGAAGTGGAGTCATCGACGCCTACGCTGGCTGGATCGGTACCGTTGGCGCCAAAGTCAAGCTGGATGGGGATACTCTTGACATGGACCAGCCAAAGAACGATGTTTCGCAAGCCTTCACGCGCCTTGCAGCCGTAGCTGGAACGTCGACCTGCCACCTTGCCATGTCACGCGAGCCTGTCTTCGTCGACGGTGTCTGGGGCCCATACAGAGACGTCCTACTACCAGACTACTGGATGGCAGAAGGAGGACAAAGTGCGACAGGTGAACTGCTCAAGCATGTTATTGAGACACACCCTGCTTTCAACGAAGCCGTGTCTGTCGCTGAAACATACAACACCAACATTTACGACTACCTCAACGAACACCTCCGCGAGATGGCGGACGCCGAGAAAGCCCCACACATCGCCTGGCTTGGACGCCACTTCTTCTTCTATGGTGACCTCTTTGGCAACCGCTCCCCTATCGCCGACCCCAACATGAAGGGATCTGTCATCGGTCTGAGCTCCGACAAGAGCCTCGACGGCCTGGCACTCTACTACTACGCGACCATGGAGTTCATTGCCCTTCAGACACACCAGATTGTTTCTGCCATGAACGCCTCCGGCCACGTCATCTCTTCCATCTTCATGTCCGGTTCACAGTGCCAGAACAGTCTGCTGATGCAGCTCATGGCCACTGCGTGCGACATGCCGGTCCTGATTCCGCGATACGTACACGCAGCCGTGGTGCACGGTGCGGCTATGCTTGGAGCAAAGGCGGCCAGTACCGACAAGGACGGAAACAGCGAGCCACTCTGGGACATCATGGACAGACTGAGCAAGCCTGGTAAGACTGTGAAGCCACTAGCTGACAAGACGGTCAAGAAGCTGTTGGACGCCAAATACAAGGTGTTCTTGGAGCAGTGTGAGGGCCAGCAGAGGTACAGGAAGGAGGTTGATGCCGCCATTGAAGGATGGACTAGCAAGTAAATGTCACAAGCGATAGTAGTCAAGGACACGACGATGAAGGGGATGATATCCATCATTAATTAGAAATTTATTCTTGCCACAAGACACTTGCCGAGGAGATCGTTGGTGCATGTTGTGTTTATAACCACCCAACTCCCCGCTTATGCCATCGGATATGGAAACTGCATGGCTTCTCCGAGTGTTGTAAGTCTTGAAACCCGGCTGCATGCAGCCTGCTCGTTGCTATCGTCTGTAAAAGGGTATATCGTACAGGGGAAATTGAAGAAGATGTGTGCCGGCAGTTGAGATCTAGTATCGTCGGCGGGGTCCACGTGGTGGTTCTCTGCGACTAGCGTCGTTGAAGCCGTATCGTCCATCTTGGAAGCTACCAGCGCGTGCGTCTGCACCGGTGTCGATGTCCATGTCATCCATGGACTGCGTAAGGCGGGCAGGCGGCGCTCGAGCGACGTGGGTGCTTGCGGGAACGTCCTTCATGTAGACGTAGAGGAGTCTGCCATCAGCCTGTTGATGGAATTAGTTTTAGTCCAACGAAGAAGCTCGCCGGAACACTGACCTTCTGGTTGTTGAACGTCGCGATAACATTCTCGGCGCCCTCCCTGCTCACAAACTGCAGCTCGACCATGACCGTCGGGCTGGAAGACAAGAGTCTGCATGCCAGCGTCTCTCCTCCGATCGGGGTCATGACAGCCTCGATATCAGCGGCCGTTGTTCCAGGTGCAAAGTTACTAGCAATGACGGTACACGGTCCGCCCGTCGCGGCACCTCGAATGCTAATGCCCGGTGCAGCGTCATTGCTGCGTGTAGCCGCACCGCGACCAAGGACCGGAGCGAATTTGGTGTAAGCCTTGCTGTTGCGCTCGATCTGCGATGCTGACGCCGTCCGAGCGAGGTTGTTCCTATTGTTGGCGGCACCGCGGGGGTTGTTCAGCTTGTGCAGATCGTGTTGCCATTTTCCGTCGACGTTGCCGGCTGGCTTCGCGCTCGCTGATCGCTTCTGGACGCCAGCACCACCGTTTATCCGACTGAGCAGCGATGGCTTTTCAGATTCAACTCGCGCCCGGCCGCCGGCGCCTGGTGCATTCGCTTTCCGGCCTCGGCTGCCAGCTCCGAGGAACTGTTGCGCGAGGGCTTCATTCTTCTTCTTCTCGCGGGTCTGCTTGACGAAACTCTCGAAAGACGCGGTGGTTGAGGCGACCATGTTGAGCGAAGGTGGAAATGGAGAGTAGTGGTGGTGGTCTGGTATGGAGTGGAAGCGCGTAAGTGTCGGCCTAAGGACAACCAGCGAGCGCGTCTACGAGAACCTTGACCCGCTTGGATCGAAGCTCGGGCCACGACCCGCCCGGCGAAACGAAACACCGCCGCGAAAAGTTCCCGTACAAAACTTGAGCCTGCAGCTTCTCTCTCTCACTCCAACAACGCGCCCAACTTTTGGTAAGTCAAAACACCCGCTCTCTCTTTGTTTTCTGTTGCTATCATGATGAACACTTGTGTCGCCCCTATCATACATTCTATGGTGATCCGACCACTCAAGCCAAACGAGAATACTGATCTTTCGCAACATCTACCAATTTGTTACCAGAAGTTTTTCAGGAC